ATACATACAAATATATGTATATTTATATATATATATATACACACATGTGTATATATACATATATAGACACATACATATAGATTTCCGAGTGCACGCAGGCCAACGGGCCGCGAAGATCCGGGACCTCCTTGCCGACCTAGGCGTTCCTCGCTCGACACCGGGCATGAAACAGAAGACACAGTTGCAGTTTGGTAATTGAAACGGAGTTCTTGGCTCCAGTCTACTCTGAAAGTCTCAGGATGACAAGGGTTATGTGGTGTGCGAGGTGTAAGACGCAGTGTTGGCGCTCTACACCTCGACAGTAGACATCATGGAATCGCCAATAGAACCCCAGAGGAGCCCATACAGACTAAACCCTAACCTCTAAACCTCAGAAAGGAAGCCACTGCACTTAAAAAACAAAAAAAGCCTGAACTCCAACAAGATCCCTTGTCAGCGAGATCTCTGAATTCTGACTTCGACAAGCCAGCAAGGCTCTGGGCTCCAGCACACGTACGGTTTAGGGTTCAGGGTCCCTAAAGCCTGAAACCTACACCCAAAACATCGTAAAGCCCAGAGGCTAAATCCTAAACTCCTAGAACTCCATCTGAAACCGTACACCGGAGAAGCCTGATGCCCCTAACCCTACACCCTAAACCCTAAACCCTACACCCTAAACCCTAAAACCCTAAAACCCTAAACCCTAAACCCCAAACCTGAATCCGAATCCAAGGAAGATGAAGCCTCAGAGCTGCAAGGCACCCTACGCATTACGTTAACGGTTGTGAGAGCTTAGGGATTACCAGGGTTTAGGGTTTAGGGTTTAGGGTTTAGGGGTTTAGGGGTTTAGGGTTTAGGGTTTAGGGTTTAGGGGTTTAGGGTTTAGGGGTTTAGGGGTTTAGGGTTTAGGGTTTAGGGGTTTAGGGTTTAGGGGTTTAGGGTTTAGGGGTTTAGGGTTTAGGGGTTTAGGGTTTAGGGTTTAGGGTTTAGGGAGGACCCCCCAAGTACCCTTTAAAGGGCTCTAGGATTCCTCATTAAGAGGGAATTAGGGACTCCAATAAAGGGTAGTTGGTAGGGTGTGGGTCTTGTCAGTTAAGGGTTCACGGCTTCAGAGTTCAGAGTGCGAGGGCTTTCAGTGTAAGACATATGGAGTCTAAGTTGGGTCTTGTTGCGGGTCATCTAGGGATCGGGAGCATGCATGAATTGATGGAACTGCTATTTCAGGTGTCTTGGTGAGTTCTGGATGCTGGCCACTGGCCTTTCGTCCCAGAGCAGAGCTCTTTAATTGTCAGGACCCTCAACACCAAATGTACACCTGCTGCTTTAAAGCCGGAAAGGTCCTCACCAGGCATAGAAATTGGACCAGCATCTCTGCCTCCTTTCTGGTGTCGGGCCACCCTAAGCCCCCTACCCCTTTTTCACCTAAACTTTCAACCTTGAGCCGGACACCCTAAAGGGAACTCCAGAAAGTTGGAATATGGTTTCAGGGTAGGATACCCTATAATTTACCATAAAGGGGTTACGATGATGAAATTCCAACTTTCTGGCTTCTACTGTAAACCTTAAACCCGTCTCGGGAGCAGAATATCCAGCTTCGGACCTTCTGTCGCAGTACTTGGGTTGTCTGGAAGGGCTGTGCACAGGCTTCACTGTTTCAGACATGACACAAGGGAGAAGACACTGAGTTTCAATAACCACAAAAGATCATCTACCACGCTTTAACAGGCTCACCAAATCCTGTTGTAATTCTTTTCCTATTCTTATCATCCCGGTTGCAAGTGTTGAGTGTTTCGGACCCTAGACCCTGAAACCTTATACTGCTCCTTGTGAGGGCTTAGTAAGAAAATTGCTTCAGAGAAAATTACTTAACGGTTTAGGGTTTAGGGTTATTTGTAGTAGCCCTAAACACAAGGCAAAGCACGGAGAGTCCTCAATCTGCCAGTCTCAGCAAGTGAAGCCTGCTATGTGACGTATACGGAGCTTGGGTAAGCGAGTTGGTCAGGGTTCAGGGACTTAGGCCACAAGCCCTAAACCCCAAAGCCTATGCCCTAAAGATGCCTAAAGCCTAAACCCCAGGTTTTCAGTTTAGGGTTTACGGATGCGTAGGACCTCTAACCTTCGGCTCCGATCTGAGACCAGGCGTTCCACCCGCTCTCTCGGACGCAGCTGGCCGTGAATCGCCGCGTGGAGATTCATATCCTTTGACCCTGAAGTGTCAAAGCAAGCGTTTTGGGCTTTAGGGTTTAGGGTTTGGGGTGCCCTGATGTACGAACAAGGCCCGACATCATAGATCAATGATCCAGGTGGTCATTTCTACATCTTAGCCGCCATAGACAAAGCCTGAAATCTCATGCCCCGAACCAAATCCATCTGAAACCGAAACTCACTGAAATCGTCAAGCTTGTACCCCAGATCCTGAAATCCATTTACCCCTCTGCATTTTCCGATGCAGCCGCCTTAAAGGCGGATGCTCGCGGAGTTGCGGCCAACAAGGAGCGTTCCTTTTCATTGCCCAAGAGGTATTATATAGGTGTTTTCAAACGACTTTAGGCATCAATGGAGAGAGCTTAATGCTTGTACGTGTTATATAGAGCACGAATATGTAGGGACTATAATAGCCCAGACCTTCCAAAATCATTTAATTAAGGAATACCTTAAATCATACTAGGGATCCTTTCATAATTTAAGGTCTATTCCTTAATTCAGGGATTTTGGAAGGTCTGGGAGAATACTATGACTAGTACGAATCATTCCGACATCCACACTCCGATAGTGCCAGGGCACAGAGCTAGTCCCTACAAAGGGCACTTACTACAGGGGCCTAAATCAATGCCTATGTTTTTTTTTTGGGGGGTCCTTATTTTGATTACAGTATGATGGGCCCCAAAACCTTATTCTAATAATTAAGGCCCCTGTATTATGCTGTCTTGGACTATGCCATGACTATGCTGGTATGTGCTTCCTGCGGTGCGGACTGCTGCGGCCAGCTGCAGCCATGGGCTCAAGTTGGTTCCGGAAGCGTTATTCGAAGAGCAAGACAGGTTGACAACCTCACATCAGGAGCCGCCCTCCTAGTGAATTTGGAAGGTCTGGGTGATTCTGGGTGTGTTGTTAAAGGGGTTTCGGTTTGTGAGGTGGTCATTGCATTTGTCAGACTTTCCTACCTCTGGCTTGCTGAGATTGGCTCACGAAGAGTCCACGCCTCAGTTATCTTGTCCTATCGCATCCCACAGCTGAGCCTTTAAAATGGAACGGTCCAGACAACAAGTATAAGTGTATGTTGTACCTACACTTACACCCCCGGGGGGAGTAATTAGGGTGGTTGCAGACTGGAGCCTGCTTCACGGAAGTCATGCCCTATCAGATACTCGACAGAGTTCAGGGCACACCAGCGTGGCTCGATTGGGCTTGAAACTCTCTTTCGACCCGCAAAGACGCACTTTAACTCCATATTTCAGCCCCAGACCTTGAACAAGCCAACAATTAAACCCTGAACCCTAAAAAAAGGGAATTGAGCCCGTTTAGGATGATCTCTGGGCTCCATCAAGCGAGCCAAAGCACAACAGTCTGCCAGAGGTGCGGCGGATTTGGGAATTAGGCCTTGGGGGTGTTGAGGGTTTGGGTTTTAGGAATTTTGGAAGTTTAGGTAAAGTTTAGGGTTTTGTCTTGTCCGCTTGTCCCTGGGATACGGGGAGTTTGCTGGTACTTCGCTTTCGCAAAAGATTTTGGGCTGAAAAGAATTTTTGGAAATCGCACATTTGTCGAGCTCGCTAACTTTGCATGATCTCTAAAGTTGTGGGATTGATGATCGTGTCTCCTGAAGCAATGCCACTGAGATTGCATTAGATGCATTGGCTGACTTTGAAACTATTTGACTTATGAAGCTGGATACATGGTCTCACGAAGCCACAAACCTTAAATCCCCTGTCCCAGCCATTGCAACCCATTGATCCGAGGAGTCATCAGATGGGCCAGCCGACGGCTTTGCATGTCCTGAAAAGGAGCTCTGGGTCATCTTTGCTTCTACTGCAGGATTCTGGTTAAGAGCTCTACGTGCCAAATGTACCGATTCGAAAGGGTTCCACATTCAGAGTTCTACAACCCCACATACCCTAATCACTCGTCATCATGTTCCTACCTTACCCTCGCCAGAGTTTGGCAGGCATCCCGGCTTCTTTCGCAATTCCCACAAGCCCAGCGGCCAAGATGAAGCAGGGAACGTCTCATCGAGTTTCCTGATTCCCCTCGTCATATTCATTTGACAGAGGGGTGGCATCAAAGCTGCCGACAAAGGCACTAGCGCTTCCAAAACCTCAAGCGCAAGCTCAGCAATGCATACTATCAACCCCTTCATCCCTATTCCCTAAACCCTGTACCCCAAACCTATAAAGCCTAATTATGCCCTAAACCCTATATACCCTATAAACCCTAGCTTGTCCTTGCAACTTCATAGCTTCGGTCGCTGCATACTCTGTCGTGTGTCGATGGAGGTCTCCCAAGCGATGAACCCACACAATGCGCCAACTCAAGCGGTGTGCCACGCTGGAAGTTGGTAGGCCTCAGAAATAGACTAGACGGGGTTTTCGGGTACATCATATTATGTATAGTGTACTTGTAATTGTAATAAGGAACCGTAAGGAGTGATATTGGTAATGATTCTGGCTTCTACTGTCGCACAACATCTACGAACAAAGCCGTATTGTTTGATGCTCGGCATCGTCATCGCTTCGAACCGTTTGGCCTAATTTGGTCCCAGTGTGCCATCAGGGAAGAAGCATTGCTTTCCTGCTAAGTGAGTCAATCGGGCCGCATGCAACCTGAATCTTGGTCGAAGTGCGTCTCATCATGGCCTTAAATCCTAAACCCTAGGCCCTAAACCCTAAAGCGCAATTGAACCCTGAGCCAATTGCTCGGTATTGCATTCTTGCAGCCACTTGTGCTCGTGCCAGCGGCACAGCCCCCTTTGCAGTTTGCCCACTAATTACTTGCCTTCTTCTGGTGGCATGAAGCTCTTCACGCGGATGTTTGCTCTTTGTGCCCTCGTCGTCAACGGCGTGGCTGCCCACCGCATCGGCACACACTCCATCGACACGAGCGGAAGCTCTTTCACAAAGGAGGAGCATGAGGGTTTCGAGTACAGTGTGTTGCCGCAAGCTGTCAGCCACCTGTCTTGTCCAGATTATACGCTTACGCTATCTGTCCATGTCCTGAACCCTTACCCAAAATAGACTCTGAGTTTTCAAAAACCTAACCTCAATCCTGCCAAATTGAAAACGAAAGCATTGAGCCGCTAACCGTGAACAGCTGCTCGTCCCTCGTGTGTCTGATCCAGGAGAGCCACGGTCAGGGTTTCCGGGTTTGGGGTTTAGGTGTGTTTAGGGTTTAGAGGTTTATATACAGCCTAAACCCTAAACCCCTAAGGGTTTAGGGTTTAGGTGTGTTTGATCCAGGAGAACCAGGAAGAGGAAGCGCGCCGCCGCATCGACGAACTCACGGATTTTGGCGCCCAGGCCGTTTTTGACGGTGCTTGGCTGTGTGATTTAGGGTTTAGGGCCTTTTAGGGTTTAGGGTTTTTCTACATCAGTTGGCCCTGTGGTACCGAAGGCTTCATCAAAGAGCGGTTGCACACTTGTAGAGGGATTTTGCACACTGTGCAACAGGACTGTTCGACACTTGGGTCGGTGCTCTGTGACCCTTATTACACCGAGCTTCTTTTTAAAATGAGACACCTGAAAGGCGAGGATAGCCCAGGTTGAACGACAGAGAACCTGACAGATTCTATGTTCTCGCTACTTCAGGGCTTGGACAAGTTCAGAGGAGAGAATGTCACCTTACAGTCCCCGTCTCTCCATAACATACATGGTTATCGCACATATTCACATATAAGCATATACACGTAATATGTGTATATGTCTATGCAGTTATATTATATCTGTATGCATTAGATGGGGCCCCGGCCCACTAATAGTTCAAAAATAGGTTTATTATCAAACAGACAGGCCAAAAGTAGCACAAGGAAATCTGATCTCATTCGGTTTTCCAGGGCCAGGCAGTGTTTTGAATCCAAATATGTTTGGCATAGTTTGGCGATTAGGGCTGTGAGATGGGGTCGGACCAGCGAAGAGGTTGGGAGGAGCTATCTGCAACTTACCAGCGAAGAGGTTTGGAACCACGGTTTCGTTACCATCGCAACCTGGGCCCGGAGACCTTCTTTCAGACGGCCTGGACGCGGGGACTGGACTGGCCCGGCCGCCAGAGAGACAGAGCAAAACTAGCACCAGAAAAGCACAAAAAAAAAACACAATCGGACCGCGTCGAGCACAAGAAAAGCACAACAGACAGAGACAATTTTGCACCAGAACTGCCGCGCGCCAATGTGTTTGGAAATCATGGAGCACAAAAAAAAGCACAAGCATACAAACACGTTTGGTTTTTTGGAGCACAAGAAAAGCACAAAAAAAAAGCACAATCGGACCGCGTCGAGCACAAGAAAAGCACAACAGCCGGAGCGTTTCGAGCACAAGAAAAGCACAACAAAAAAGCACGAACATACAAACACGTTTGGTTTTTGGAGCACAAGAAAAGCACAAAAAAAAAGCACAATCGGATCGTTTCGAGCACAAGAAAAGCACAACAGCCGGAGCGTTTCGAGCACAAGAAAAGCACAAAAAAAAAGCACAAACATACAAACACGTTTGGTTTTTGGAGCACAAGAAAAGCACAAAAAAAAACACAATCGGAGCGTTTCGAGCACAAGAAAAGCACAACAGCCGGAGCGTTTCGAGCACAAGAAAAGCACAAAAAAAAAGCACAAACATACAAACACGTTTGGTTTTCGGAGCACAAGAAAAGCACAAACAAAAAAACACAATCGGAGCGTTTGGAGCACAAGAAAAGCACAAAAAAAAAGCACAAACATGCAAACACGTTTGCGGAAACGAGCCCGGAGCCTGCCTAGATTGCAGAAAGAGTACAGACAGAGCACAAGAAAAGCACAACAGCCGGAGCGTTTCGAGCACAAGAAAAGCACAAAAAAAAAACACAAACATACAAACACGTTTGGTTTTTGGAGCACAAGAAAAGCACAAAAAAAAAAGCACAATCGGAGCGTTTCGAGCACAAGAAAAGCACAACAGCCGGAGCGTTTCGAGCACAAGAAAAGCACAAAAAAAAAAGCACAAACATACAAACACGTTTGGTTTTCGGAGCACAAGAAAAGCACAAAAAAAAAGCACAATCGGAGCGTTTCGAGCACAAGAAAAGCACAAAAAAAAGCACAAACATGCAAACACGTTTGCGGAAACGAGCCCGGAGGCCTGCCTAGATTGCAGAAAGAGTACAGACAGAGCACAAGAAAAGCACAACAGCCGGAGCGTTTCGAGCACAAGAAAAGCACAAAAAAAAAGCACAAACATACAAACACGTTTGGTTTTTGGAGCACAAGAAAAGCACAAAAAAAAGCACAATCGGAGCGTTTCGAGCACAAGAAAAGCACAACAGCCGGAGCGTTTCGAGCACAAGAAAAGCACAAAAAAAAAGCACAAACATACAAACACGTTTGGTTTTTGGAGCACAAGAAAAGCACAAAAAAAAGCACAATCGGAGCGTTTCGAGCACAAGAAAAGCACAACAGCCGGAGCGTTTCGAGCACAAGAAAAGCACAAAAAAAAAGCACAAACATACAAACACGTTTGGTTTTTGGAGCACAAGAAAAGCACAAAAAAAAAAACACAATCGGATCGTTTCGAGCACAAGAAAACCACAACAGAAAAGGTTTCTGTGATCGAAATGTCGCGCCCGGGTACGCCTCTCAGTACTAAACTTGGTCGAAAAGGCCAGACCCCGGCCCGGCCTCAGCCCGCCCCCCACCCCCCCGTCCGTTCAGCTTTCCAGCCCAGCCCCCTCAGCCCCCCCCAGCACCCCCAGCCCCCCCCGCCCCGCCCCCCCTAGTCGCGCAGAGGCATTGCAGCTCCTGATGTTTGCTCAAGATCGAATCCGAGAAAACAACAGGGGTGTGACTGTGTTTGCAACTCATGGGGTGGCAGTTTACTTGTTGTCTCAGTCTTGCGTTTTCCATTCATGCGAGCATGATCACAAACGAATCAACATTTCAGCATTTCCCTGGTGCTTCATCTTGTGCTTCTGTTTCTGCCCAGTATTAGTGAGCCGGGGCCGCACACAATGTATGCATATATATATATATATATACACATGTTCTTACATATATATATATATATATATATGTATATATATGTATATACATGTGTGTCAGTCCCTTCCGGGACCCGCTAAAAGACCCTCATGGCCTCACATGTGGAGGCCACCAGTCATAGCGAGAATGCGAGCCAGAACAGCACAGACGATCCGGCCACGAACGAGGTCACCTCCGGAGTGGACTCTGGGGTTGAGAATTTGAATCGTAGGGTTTCACAGCTTATACAGAGCCCTAGTTCAAGCCCTAAGCCTAAGCCGTACCCACGTCTACGGTTTAGGGTTAAGAGTTCTTTGGACATCCAGGTGATCAAAGGGGAAAAGGAGGGACCCTTAATGGGGACCCCTACCTACCCTATAATGGGCTATATAATGGGTATATAGCTATATTAAGGGTCCCTCCTTTTACCCTTGGAGGTGACCTCCAGAGTGATCGCCGCGGTTGACCGGTACGTTGCGCAAGAGAAGCAGAGCCTCGATCGGCGAAGGGCCGAATTCGTCGAGCTGTCGAAGCAGCCACCTAGTGCTGATACGGTTTAGGGTTTTAGGGTTGAGGTTTTTGGGTTTTAGGGTTTAGGGTGTTTTGGGGGTATTACTCAAGTAGGACCTTGGGTTATTTTGAACCTTGTCTTGTAAGGCTTAAGAGGATCTTACTTACGAAAGTTTTAACAGTGGTGTAGGTAACCTTTGACCCGTTTGTTGTACCGTTACCACGTTGTAGTCTTCAGGTAATTAACCGTAATCACTATGACTCGTCTCAAGTTTGAACCTGCCGTTACAAGTGGTCAGGGGGCTGAGTAGGCAACCCTTAACCGTTTGGGTCTGATGTAATCCTACAAAAAGTTTAAGAGGTTAATCTTTTTTGGTCCCAATAGAGTAAGGCCAGTTGGTGAACTGATTGTCTCCGCCACGAACTCCCACCTCGAGACCATCAAGCAGCTTGAATCGACCATCGAGGAAAAGGTTTCGACCATCAAGCACCAGGCTTCGATTTGTTGGAGGTTTAAGTGTTTAGGATTTATGGGTTTAGGGGTTTAGGGTTTAGAGATTATAGGGACTAGGGATTTAGGGTTTAGGGATTTGGGGGATTTGGGGTTTAGGGGTTTAGGGTTTATAGAATGTCATGAAGCACCAGGCTTCGATCATCGACCGGTTGAGGCGGCCCAGCAATTTTGTGTGGAACATCTCGAATCAAGACTTCTCAGAGGTTGCCTATAACACCTATGTGTCTGGGCTTTGGAGTACCATACTTTAATACTTTTTTCCTTAACGGAACCATTCAGAAATCAAAGTTCATACTTTTTTCTCCCTGGTTACTTAAAAGCCCAGGTGGAGAGTCCAAAGTTCGGCCTCTTGCTCGATAGTGGCTTTTGGTTTCGATATTATCCGAAAGGAACATGGGGTACCGGCGATGATGGGTGGGCGACGATCTACTTGAAGCACGACCGGTCATGCCGTCTATCTGGGACTATCACCGCGGACTCCGTTACAAAGACGATTGAGGGAAGTGGAACTTCATGGGGCTCTGACAGACACACGCAGCTAGGTAGGGCTTTGGGACATTTTATATTTTCCCTTATTGGGCTTAAGAGGATCTTATTTACTAATGTTTTTCAAAGGCTTTAAAAGCCCCACCTAGGCAGACTCCGAAGCTCCATGCGATCAGTGTGAACATCACGGAGTCGGATTGCTAGGATTCTGTGGACCTCCCTGACTGACGAAAAGCACCGCTACATGATGCTACACAGTGCTTTGGGGCAAGTGCGAGGAAGTTCTGATCGAAGAAGGGTTGAAGGGTTCAGGGAGAACTAGTGCGAAGTTTGGCAGAGCTCACGGAATATGTCCTCAGTGCTAGGTGCCCGCAATGCTGACACCGTAGTCTCATGAGGGGTATGTAAGGTGCGGGGTGAAGGGATGGGAAGGCTCGCGGATCAGAGCATCTTGCACTAATAGAGCATCGATGACTTTGTGTGTTGCTTTGAAGGCCTTTGCCTAGTGGCCGATTGACTTCACGTTGCAGCCACTTGTGCTCGCGCTAGCAGTGCAGGCCCTTGCGCAGTTTGCCCATTCATTCCCTTCTCATGGCGTCTCCTGATGGCATGCGTCTCTTCACATTCGCCTTCTTTGCAATTTACATGAGCGATGTGGCCGCCCACCGCATCGGCACGCACTCCATCCTTTGAATTGGAAGCTCTTTCATGAAGGAGGAGTGTGAGGTTTGGAGTATATAGGGCGCAGTGTGTTCCCGCAAACTGTCAGCCACCCGCCTGTTGCAGGATATGAGATTACGATGTCTTCCCACCTACTAACCCTGATCCCTACAAAGCCCTTACCTATCAAGCCCGAACAGCTTTCGTCCCATTTTGTCTTTATTGCAGGAGAATCAGGAAGCTCACCACGTGGAAGACTCCATCGACATTGGCGCCCAGGCCGTTGCCGACGGTACTGAACGGTATGAGAGTTTGCTACACCAGAGAGCCATGTCTTCTTGCAGGCGTTATCTAAGAGCGCTTGAACAGTTCTCATTGTGATTGTAGAGTGAGGGTTTACATGCTGTGCAAGAGGACTATTGGTAATTTGAGTACTGTTCTGGTTCTTGCTACATGAGCTTCCAGAGACAAAAGGACAGGACAACCACACGTTGAACGACGGAGAAGCTGAGCGACGGAAGGGCTTGGGAGGGTTTAGAGCAGAAGTCATCCTGTTACAGTCCCAATATGCGTAGTTTCCTAGTTATAGTGCTTATGCTGTACGACAAGATTCATACCGACAGGCCCCCAGGTTTGCCGACACAGCCCCGTCCCGTTCGACAGTATCCGTTCTCCCAGAGCATCCATGGACCATGATAACATCCGCTCGGACCGCATCCCTGGACCGGAACATCCATCGCCCAGCCATGATTTCGTCCTCTCAGACCTCATCCATTCCCTCAGCATCCATCGGGGCCTGGCGTGATAGCGCCCACTCTGTCGATGCCGCACAGTGTAAACGGCGGCAAGCCGTTTCAAAGTCGTTGCTGAAGTCCTGCTTGCAAAAATTGATCTCAACCCCGGATTCAACGCAGATTTGTTCAGGAACTGTGACCCCGATAGGCTCGAACATGTCGTAAGTTGCAGGTTATTCCATCCTTCCGCCCGACACATCTTGCTAATGTAGGGCCCCAAAAAGCACATAAGCAAAAATTAGGATAGGGATATCCGGGATATCCCACATAAACTCCTTATAATGAAGCCCGACCAGGTAGGGATATCCCTATCAAATGCCTAATTATGCTTATGTCCTGTTGGGGTTCCTAAATGGCAGCTTCCCACACGGCATGCCGGCAAACCTCGCTGTCAAGCGTTTCCATTTCAGGGTTCCTTCAAGGGATCTGTAAAGAACCTATAATAGGTGGGCCTTCAACAATACCTATGCTATTTGGGGGCTCCTTATTACAAGTATAGTATAAGATTCACCCAAAACCCTATTCGCAGTATTAAGGCCTCTAGATGAAGCAAGAGCCCACAGCGACAGCACAGCCTGCAAATCAAGCGCGTCTTGCCTATACTTTTTTGGGTGTTCCTTGTTATAAGTATAGTATAATGGGGCCCAAAACCCTATTCTAATTACTCAGGCCGCTATATTATGCTATACCCGACTACTTCTTCAAAAATCACAGGATCCTTTTGGACCCCTACAATCCCCACAAGACCCTTCTGGCTTCAAATTTGTGGAGGCCACCAATGTTGGCGAGACCAGAACAGCACGGACGAGCCGGCCACGATCGAGGTAATATAGGGGCCTAAATAATTACCAAAATTATGGTGGGGGTTCCTTCTTATAACTATAGTATAATGGCCCCAAACCCTATTCTAATTATTAAGGCCTGTATGTTATAGTACCCTTATAGATCCCGTATAGTAGCCCTGTAAAGGAACCCTTTAAAGGAACCCCATTCCAATTATTCGGCCCCTTTTTTTAACCTCCGGACATCGACCTGAGGTTGAAAAAAGGGCCAGGATTCAGGGGTTTACCCACTGTCGACCTTTGTGTTTGAAGTTGAATCATCCCTAGAGTGCTCCGGGTACCTAACCCTAAGGGTCCATGTACCCAAATAGTATATACTTTGGCCCCAATGTACCTATATAGGGACTACTTTAAGGCCAATGTATATACTATATGGGTACATGGACCCCTAGGGTAAATTAACCTAACCACATATGACGTACCCCCCCCAGTAAACCGTTTAGAAGTTGTTGTTGCTAACCGGAGCCCTAGACCATGTTGCCCATGTTGGACCATTTTGAGACGCAGGGGCCTGCGGCCTCCGGAGTGATCACTGTACTGGACCAATACGCTGCGCGAAAGAAGTCCAGCGTCGATCAGCGAAAGGCCGAATCCGTGGAGCTGTTGAAGCAGCCACTTAGCTAAGTAGGCCCTTGGGTGATTAGAAATATTTTTTGCTGGGCTTGAGGATCTTGCCTCATTGCGCATGTAACTGTTGAACTCTTTGTTGTACCAGACCCCCTTTATAAGCTCAAATTTGGATCTTCCGTTCCCCTACTGGACAAGTAAGGCCAGCTGCCGAATTGATTGTCTCTGCCACGAAAGCTTACGTTGAGCAACCCTAAACCCTAAACCCTAAATAGGCTTCCACCATCGGGCAACAGGCGTTCACCATCGCGTTCACCATCAAGCGCGAGGCTTCACTCATCAACCAGTTCTGTGCCATAGTTGAGTAGCATTCTGCATGTTAATTGGGTACTTAAACCCAATAAGGAATAAACAATTACAGTTTTAATACTGTCCCAACCATGAACTAGAGCTCCAGGCTCCCCCCTTGAACTCTATAAACCCTAAACCCCTAAACCCTAAGCCCTAAACCCGTTTTTTTGAGAACATCTCAGGCGAAGGCTTCTCAGTGCTCCATGGCGAATATGTGGAGAGTCCCAAGTTCGGCTTCAACTTCTCGACAGCGGCTTTTGGTTTGAATATTCTCCGAAAGGGGACGCCACCACCTACGCATATGAAATGCAGGCAAGCTTCTTGAAGCACGACCGGGGTTGCTTCCTATCGGGGACACTCACCGCCGACTCCGTCTCAAGGACAATCCACGGGCATGGACATCGGTTTGGAAATCGTTATTTCGCTCCGGCGATCAAGTTCCACGTAATCAATGTGAACATAACGGAGTCGAATTGCTCAGTTCTGTGGACGTCGCCAAGTAGCTTCGGAGCTTGCACGAAGCGGAAGCCGGAGAAAAGCGTCCTTGCAGAAAGCAGAGGGGCAAAGGATAAGTTCTAGAAGGTTGTCTAAAGCCTAAACCCTAAACCCTCAACCCCTAAATCCCAAACCCCCTAAACCCTAAACCCATAATCCTAAACCCTAAACCCTAAACCCTAAACCCCCCCAAAAGGGAAGAGAAAGGTCGAGATCGCTCCGGAAGCGTTGAGGGTTTGAGGCGAACCGTGAAGTTGGGCCGTTCCCAAAGGGTCCTATGTACTGTTATGGGGAATACTTCTCCAAATCATAGTAGTAATTCCTAATATAGAAACCCGACATTCTACCATATCGGTACTTTGGACCCTTTGGGTTTCGGGTGCATTGAAAGCTTTACTATAGGAGCGTAAATAATTACCAATACCTTTGTAGGGTTCCTTATTATAGTTATAGTATAATCGGGCCCAAAACCCTATTCTGGCTCAAGGCGGCTTGGCCTTCTCGGGGCTTGAGCTGTTAGCGGCTGTTGTAGTGTCTTCTCTCTTGGGTAGAAGGCCATGGCAGCTGACTACGAACATAGCCGCAGTAAATGGCATCTACTGTTGATGCCCTGCTTTCTAGTCTGGAGTGGGCTTACCCACTACGGACTTTGTCTTGCCGATAAGCCATGCATCTGTGCGTATGCGCATAGCATGCACTCGCAGTACCATATCAGCGCACCGAATCTGCACAAGCAACCTGTAAACGATGCGGGTTGGACATACAGCAATTGGTCCCTTTTGGACCGTCAGCATTGGCAGTGCAAAAGCAAAAACAAAAATACCTGCCAAAATTATTGCAAAAAATCGTTCACAAAAACCAGCAAAAAATTCGCAGAGCCCGATGGCGGCTCCTGTTTGCATTATGCAAAATTCAACAGCATCAACAACAATTACAGCAACAACAGCAAAAGCAACATCAGCAATTGCAATGTAACGAAACACTGCCTTGCAGATGACTTGCATGATGATGACGATGACTCTTGCCCTCTCGCGAGTGTAGCTTGCAGTCCCCAAGGACACCGCAATCAAGCACGCTGCTCGATGCATACAGGGCCTAAGAGTTGTGATTGCGATTTCGGAGTGTTTCGTGGGATTAGACAGCGATACATTGACTTCAGAAAGCAAGCTTCCTTGCTAATGTACTCTGTGCACTCCACTTGGCAGCATGCCCCTATGAACAGAAGCACAAAGCAAAAAGCTACCAACCCTAAGCATCCCAATTATCTGTGGACCCTAATCGGCCTCTTCACTTTATTCTCTGAACTCGTACATTCCATAATCGCTCAGGAAGTGCAACATCGCGATCAAACAGCCCCTCGCAGAGTCACTGCGGACTGCAACCTGGTGAAGGGTGGACTTTGGAGGTTTGTGTTCAGGGTATTTCTCCTTTGTGGGCTTGTTTGGTTCTCGGGGATTTGGGGGTTTGCCTGTGAGCCCCTAACTTCTGGTCTCGTGCGATTCCGAAAACCCCGAAAGCACAAGAATGATAAATATGCAAAGAGGCATGAAAGTAGAGTCGAAAAGTTCGATGTTAAGGTCGATGTCTTGCATCATGGGGTTAAGACACCTTTGCACACGACTCGCATTGTTGGTGATGGCAACTGTTACTGGAGAGCAGTCGCCAAGCAGCTCAACATGTCGTGGCATAGACTAAAAGCTCTCACGACCAAAAGCATGATGCAACATGCCCTGAAAGCGCAAGATGTTGAACTTTGCCAACATGTCAAACTTCTCAGAAAGAAGAACGCCTGGGCTAACATGTTAGCTGTTCTGGGTACTGCTGATTATCTCGGATGTGAGATTCGAGTATGTGTCCGGGGACACGTCATCAGATGTTGCCCTCAACGACTGGACAATTGCGCCAAGTCGAACCATAGGCATGACAATCAGGTTATTAGCCTGTATTTCGAGAACTCGCACTACAGTGGGGTTGATGCTGCTGAGGTTAGGCACAGAGTGGCGGTAGCCGACCACAGATGGAGCTCCAGCCTCAAAGAATTCCTTCAACATACCCTTGATGCCTACCCTAAGGATGTCACCATTCTTCGGCATAGGATGAACGGTGCGAGCGTAGCGCGCAGATGCAAAATGCATCTTCACAGCAAAAACTCCCGCACTTTCTTCAGGCAGTTGGCTCATCTGAAGAATAGTGGAGCCGATAAGGGAGGCATCATGCCTCCCCAATATCGCCCAGCAGGTAAGGGCCTGCCAATGCGGCGACCGCACGAAAACTTCACAGAGCAGGTGATGCGAGTGGCTAAAGCTCGAGGGGCTGCGCCTGTTGAGATGCAACCAATGCCGAAAGTCCCACCCATGATGAAATCAATGCCGAAAGTCCCACCCAGACCGCCGTCCCCAAAGAGGAAATCCTCATCGACTACGTCGGGGAGCACTGCAATGATCACCACATCGGGAGTCTCAACAACACCGAAAGCCACTGCATCATCGGCAACCTCATTGAACACAGCAGCTTCGTCCATGCCACCAGAGCCGTCGATGAAACCCTTGATCACTACGGCTACAGCTTCGGAAGAACGAGTTCAGCATCCCAGACTGGTTCGCAGGCCCCGCACTCCACCGCTTCCGCGCCGACATTTGCCATCAGCAGCACCTTCGATTGAGTTGCCCCCTGCTGCTGAGGACATGAGTGGAGGAGAGTGTACAGAGGATACTCAGAATGAGACCGCCCAGAATGCTCATCTTGATGCTTTTGTTGAAAGAGTAGTCAGCGAAGTCTCACGACGCGTACTTGAACGCATCAACTCTGCGCCATATATGGTAGGGCTGTCCAGGATTGCCGCATGGGTTCATTTGCCGATTCCCCGTAATTTTTATGACACCAAACCCCAACTAAATGACACATCTAAGTTAACTTTGTCCTGCTTGGCACTGCCTCGCTTACAGACGAATCTAAGGAATCAGTTGCAAAATGGATGCGGAGACACCGCAACTGTGCCGACAGATAATCTTTGTAAGCCAGCAGACATCAAAAGCCACATGACACAAAGCATCGGCAACCTGCGTCGCCTTTGTTCGGGATTCTTTGGGCCGCTCTGGGGAATTCTTGATTCGGTTTGTAGCTTCAGATTGCAAAGGTCTTTGTTCTATCAAATCACTAGAATGACCACTCTAATTAAAGGACTGTCTTTCACAGAGGGTCAAAAATCTTGTCACATCGGGTTTACCTCGCCCCTTCGACGCAGGGGTTTCAAGGTGTTTAGCTGGAATGGAAAACGGCAAGCATGCACAATCACAGCAAAAAGTCACATTTCAAATCCAAGGAACGACGAGCGAGCCAGACACGACACTGCGCTGCAGCAGACGCCGCCTCTGGGAAGGTGCCTCCTTCATAAGGTTGCTAGGGCTTTTAGGTTTAGTTTCCTAAAGCACTTCGCAAAATCAGGCACGAGCCATAGCCTGTCGACATATCACAAAAGGCTTGACAAAGCCACAAATGCACAATGCGCAAAGCAAAAACTTGCAGCATCACAAAAGGGCCAGACCGACACCCACTGGTACCACTGTGATAAAAAGTGTACTCTTGCAAAAATGACCACACCTAGCAACAGCGATGGTAGAACCTACAGTGTCTTCGAGCACTGCAAAACTGAGCAATCATACACTACACATCCCAGGAAATGCATCAATCCAGATGCTGCTGCCGTGACCGTTATGAATGCCAAGACGGCATCCAGGCAGATGGAGTGCTCCTCCCCTTTTGTGGGTTTAGTTTGGGCTCTAGTTTTCCTTTGTGGATGCTGCTCTGCTTGGGATTCCGGGATTTCGTTGTCTCGTTCGCTTTTGCTTCAAGGAGGGATGGATTGTAGTCTTCACTCGGGTAGCTCACCCACCGATGTCGCTACAGCGAGACAGCACGCGCATTCGCACATAAGCCACATGTGCAACTTCGCCTCTTTAGAAGCATACGCTGAATGCCTTTTGAAGCAGCAAAAACTTACACCCGAACAAATCCAGCAGTTGCTTGATCATCCTGAAGTACCATGGGTTAAAAATGGGGATGGACACCAGGTGATACTTGGGGCTGCACGGTTATCCTTAACAAAGTACTCGCGAATGTACCCTAACTTCACCAAAGTGATCACTACGTACATGAAACAATGTAATGTTGCTTGTTTTGGCACTACTATTGCCTTAAACAAGAATGTGATGACTGAAATGCACATTGATTCCCATAACGACAAGCTTCCTGCTTTCCTGACCTCAATCACCAAGTATGTTGATGGGGAGATCTTCCTCAAGTCATCTTACGGCGACGCCACTTTTCGGGGCTGTAAGGGTTTCCGTGTTCCCATACCCCGAGGTAGCACCATCGAGGTCCCAACCTTCAAAATCCCGCATGCTACTTGCAACTGGAGTGGTAACCGCATCATTGCTGTTCTTTTCACTGCCTCACTTAATCGACTTGCTTCGTGCAGAAGTCATCTAGTTGGGTCACTAAAGCAATTGGGCTTCAAAGTTCCAGAACAACAGCAAAAATGGACCGATGTGGAAATCTGTGGCAATGCCAACTGCGCACCCATATATAGTAGATCCGCTTCAATCCAAGGATACTTCGAAGCCGACGGGACCAGTGGCAGCAACTTTATTTCGGAGGGAAATAGGTTGCAACAAGTTGTTATTCAAGATGTGGTCTCATGCACTTCGTCCGACGAGTCAGATCCCACTGATACCTGGCCTGATCTCTTCAACTCCGACATAAGTATCATCGAGCCCTGCTCTGACGAATCCCCTAGAAGTATCGCTACGACGTGCATTGACTCATCGATCGATTCTGTAAAGATGCCTACTGATGACAACAGCCTCATGCCTGTCATTAGTAATAGAAAAAGAAAACCCACCCTTTCGTTAAGGAACTCGCTTGACTCGGATGCCGATCATCACGGAAGCGACGTTGGGATGGATATTGGCTTTGGTCTTTCTGTGAACTGTCCCAGGTCTTCGAGTGATGCTTTCTTTAAGGCTGATCTCAGATCGTGTATGGGTTCACCAAGTTCATTCTTCTACGGGAGTTTCGGACTTGCTCTTGACTCTGCCAAGGATAGATCCCTAAACTCCGATCCCATTGAGTCTTTTGCAGACAGCCACATTTGCCACGAAAGCTTGACCAACGATGAAATGTGTGACATGCGAGGTGGTGGTGCTCCTGCTGATGAATTCCAAGCAAACAAAGCCGACATCAGCAAAATGGTA